CTAAAGTAATGAAATAAATAGGTTTGTATTTCACTATTTGATGCTTGTATTTAGATAACAGCGCGGTCAGCTTTGTTTGAGATACATTAAGCACCAGTTGGCTCTCACTCTTATGAATGGTCTTATCAATTAGCCCAATGTCATATTTTGCTTTGTGCATGCAATACTTGTTATCTTTTTGTCAATAAGTGCAGCCTCTGCTCAAGAAATAAACTTGTAAGATTTCAAACCCACAAACACCTGCTAACTAAATGCACACTAGAAGGGAAGTTTCTTCACGAAATATCAACGCTAAGCCGTTCGTACCACCATGGACATTCAGTTCTGCAATGACGATGAGCAGCTCCATATTCTCTGCACTGTCAACTCTTTTTGATGTTTTTCACTGTACAACCCATGCTATTTATACGTAGGGGTCCTATACGGACACCCTTGTAAAATTGAGTGCAGTCTTTGGCTCAACAATGTGCCCAAAAGAGGACTTAGAAAATGCAAAGTAGATTTCAGTCAAAAATACATTGTTGGATGAATCTGCTAAGTGGGTGATGCTTATGACATTTATTAGTAGAATTACTATTAAAGGTAGTTGGTGATACTCTCTCGCTAAGAAATGGAATGCGGTAGAAGATATTGGACATGTTCCTGAATCTGGATGTTCGAATAGGAGAAATGCAAAGAATGAAAAGAAATTTACGGTTTAAAAATATCAAATAAACTAACCTCTGCGCATTGAGAAATGACGTTTTTAATATAGATGTTTCTGTCGGTGTCTTGTCACATGAACGCAGCAAAACAAATTGTGCACATTCGTTCAGCCCACAAACCATTCTTACTCTCTAATTTTGCTGTTTCCCAAAGTTCTCATAGTTCATCATTCGAATACAAAGTCATGCTTAAACATTTTAACTCCACGCTGACGAAAACATTCGTTCTCTGGTTTCATTTTACTACCTAATGTTTTAGTGAAATGACTACAAGCAATTTACAAGCTTGTTTATTTTATCGGACAGGACACTGTAATGCAGTTGCTTGACATTCTTATGGGCCAAATTTGGCAGGGTTAGAAAACCAGTTTAGAGAATGTCGATCCTTGTATCTTAGAGCTGCTCCTTTG